GCAGCCCACCAGGCTCCCCCATCCCTGGGATTCTCCAGACAAGAACACTGGAGTGGGTTGCCATTTCCTTCTCCAATGCGTGAAAGTGAAAAGTGAAAGTGAAGTCGCTCAGTCGTGTCCGACTCTTAGCGACCCCATGGACTGCGGCCCACCAGGCTCCTCCGTCCATGGGATCTTCCAGGCAAGAGCACTGGAGTGGGGTGCCATTGTCTTTTCCGGTAAGGCTACTACTCTTCCCCTAATATATATGTGTTAATTTAGCCAATGTGTATTTATTCATTAATTCAAACATTTATTCCTGCCCTAATTTGGTCACAGGATCAGCCATAGATAAATTAAGGTGTACTGATGTTTTGTCCATTTCACCCATGTTATATGAAGGAGCCAAAGGTGACCCGTGCATATTGGATTCTAGGTTGTTTGGTTCCTCGTAGCAGGCTGAGACCCAGTAGCCCTAAAGCCAGCAAGCACCAAACTCAAGCTTTCAAACATGTGATTGCTTAACACATAGCCCAAGAAAGGATAGGTTTAACCATTTAGAACTTGCCCGCTTTGCATGCCCCTTGGACTTGCACGGCACATCTGTGAGCCACAAGTAGCATCAGCTGAGGGCAGTAAGGAACCCCCATCGCTGCTGCCCCGGGGGCTCTTTGGCCCAGAGACTGCCTGCTGCGCGGCTGAGTGATGCCATCTAGACAGGCAAGCATCTGTCCAGTTCGCCTTCCTCCCAGGAATTTTCTTGATTGCCCGTCCGCCTGGATGGGCACTTGCTGTGGCCTCTGGAAAGTGTCTTGCAAAGCAGAGGATTGCCTCAGTAAGGCTTGTGTGTGCTGTCACAGGCTGCAGGCAGTGGCAGGTGGATTCTTTACCACTGAGCCACCCGGGAAGCCCATTCTACAACTTAAAAATGTTTAAAAATAGCCTAAGGCAATAAAAAGTGCAAGTAACTCAGAAAGGTGCACTTTACCAGATATCCAGTAATCCTCCTCTCATCCCAATTTCAACATCTTTACCAAGTTTTTGTGTCACTGTCCCCATTTAAAATATATATATAATGTTTTATTTTAGTTTATAATAGAAATAGAATAAGATAAAGTCACGGTCAATTCAGTGTTACCAGACTTGAGAAGCTTTAGTGTTGTTATGTTCTTTTCTTCCCCTTTCAATACCACTTAATGCATTGATTTTAGGATCCCACAGAATTTGGGAAACATTTTGACAAACTTCTCTTACTAGTTATGAACTTAATTGACATGGGCATATTTTTGACGGCCATGATTTAGCGTTTCCTGCTTTACAAAGGCTAAACACAGGGGCCTAAAGTTAAAATATTTTCTTTTAATTGGTATCACTGTGAAGAGTTTAGACCAGTGTGTAGGAAGCAATAATATTTATTAATATAAATTTCAGATTTACAATATTTTCTGTTAGTTTTGCAGATACACCTTACATTCATTCATTCAACAGATATTAACTGTCTGCTGTATACTAAGTACTGTTCATAAATGAACTTCTCTTCCTGCAACTGATTCTTTGTGTTTTTTTTTTCTCGCTTGCTTATTTGTTTATTTTATTGATATATAATTGATATACAACATTTTATTAGTTTCAGGTATACAATATGATAATATTTCAGGCATACAGCATTATAATATTTTCTACACACAGAAGTAGGCAGTAATTAAGTGATTAAGTCATATTATACCTTTTCAACTTTGTGTGTGTTTGTGTGTGCATGCATTCATTTAAAATTTCTGACCAGGAAAATAGTGGTGAGAAACATACTGGACACTAAGGAGCTAAAGCTTAGATTACAAGGGAAATAATTTGAACTGTAAAGAATCTGAGCACATAACCAAGTGAGAGGTAAATCGGTTACGTGTAGCTGGGAAAAGGGCAGGAGGTGGCAGGCTTTGTGTTTGTGAGTGCATAGTTTAAGACAGAGCTTACCTTTAAGAATGCATTCATTCACTACAAATTTTACAGTGCAAAATTTCTTATCTACAAAATGATTTCTTTAAGATCATTTTTTTCTGTTGAAATGCCTTCATTGTGGTCTTCAGGTGGTGAAACATTAAACAGTAATTGTAAATAACAGGTGACTTTGACAAAACACACAGAATGTTGATTAAGATGAACATGAATCCAGTAACACAAGAGTCCACTGAATATAAAGATAAGCCCATAGACATGCTCCATTTTAGGAGTTTTAATCAATGGCGTCAAAATCAGAAACAAAGATATAGCTATGGATCCAAATATAAATGGCAAAGGCACCTGAAAGTTTAAAAAAAAAAAAGGTTAAAGTTAGTGATGACAATGTCTAAAAGTTTCTATAAACAACATGAGAAAAATCTCTTTCTTTTGGAGCAAGTGTTTCCAAACACCAGAGAGAAAACTACAAATATATTTTCAAATATATTTAGAGAGAGAGTGTCAGTATTACATTATAAAAGGGCCCCTCTGTCCATGGGATTTCCCAGGCAAGAATACTGGAGTGGGTTGCCATTTCCTTCTCCAGAGATATTTAAAACAGATAAAGAAGGTTCTTCTCCAGGGAGCTTAGTGCCAGTATCTAGCAGTGTAACTTGGGTCTACCTGATAATCTGATCTTCAAACCCATTTGCAGAGAAGAGCCAGCAGGTGGCTCCCCAGGTGTCCATCCCAAGGAGACCCCAAACACGGCACAGTGAGATCCTCAGGGCCTCACACCCCCCCAGCCCCTGAAGAAAGGACGTGGTGGGTCAGCAGATGCTAAGGGATAACTATGTTCAGGGGTTTTCAATCAAATATTCCTGAAATGTGTGTTTTGTGTGGAGAAGGAAATGGCAACTCACTCCAGTGTTCTTGCCTCAAACATCCCATGGACAGAGAAGGCTGGCGGGCTACAGTCCATGAGGTCGTGGAGTCAAGACTCGACTGAGCGACTAAACACACACACACACCATTTAAACTTTGAGTTTCAAAAAAAAAAAAAGAGTCCTCTTAGGCCCATTTGCAAAATGATTTTTTTTCTGGTCTTCTAAAGTCTTTGTCAGAATTGCATACAGTGTACTTCAACAGAATATGCTCAACAAAATAACATTTCTTAACTAACTTTATAAACATAATTTGTATACACTTCTTACTCTTCTATGAGACTAAGAAGATTCTTGATGAAAGATTCATCTTTATTTTTCTGAACTGCCTAGTAAAGTAACTGAAACACAGCAGGTAGTCACTGCATATTTGTTGAATAAATGGATGACTGAAATCCGAGATATTGTTCACTCTTTTCAACGTGAAGCATGGCCCAGAGGGATCCATTGGCAGGGGAAGAATGTCAAGATTGTCTAAACTAGTGTTTCTTAAAATAGGATCAGTCGACCTCTCTGCATAAGAATCCCCAAGATAATTGATAAATACACAGATTCCTAAGGCTTGATTAAGATCTAGTAAATAAGAACCCTGGGGGTGAGTCTGGGAATTCAGATTTCAGTAAACATACTCAAGTGGTTTTATGGTCAGTGGCATGAAATAAGGGACTATCATTTTATTTTCCACACAATCTCTACAACCAGGAAGTATCTTAATTATATTGACCACTGGATTATAATTATAACACAATTAAAAAGTAAAACAAAGACAACTTGGGGACCTCCCTGGCAGTCCAGTGGTTAAGAATCCACTTTCCAGTGCAGGGCACGTGGGTTTGGTCACTGGTCAGGGAATTAAGATCCCACATGCCAGGGGATGTAACCCAGTACATGGCAACTGGACAAAGCCTGTGCACTGCAATGAAGACCCAGCACAGTCAAGAAACGAAACAAAACAAAGCAAAATATTACAAAGACTGGTACCTTTTAGGATTTACATTATAGCAAGGTATAGCTTAGTTTATACCAAGACAAAATAAATGAAAATAAGAAAGAGAAACGAGGGAAATAAATATGGGTAAAGAATGAATTTGGCTCACAAAATGCATGCCACGTAGCCCCATATAGATTCTGGAAGCAGGCCACCAAAAGGCATAGGCTAAACTGCTGTTTAGAGGAGGCCTAAGTATTCCTGATGCTAAAATCAGAGAAAATTTCCTCAGTGGATCTTTCATAGAATACAGATTTCATCACAATCTTTTCAGTAAATATAACAAAATTTTGGTTTCTGAACTCAGAACGTGTGGTTTAAATCCCATCCCTGATCCTTTCCACTAGGGTAATTTACCTAGTCTCTGAGCTCCAGGATTCTCCTGAAGTTAAGTGGAGTAAAACTAAGAAAATCTATGCCAGCTGTTTGACCTGAACAGGCCATGCTCATGCCTCCTTCTAATACACTTCCTACACTATTGTCAAAATGGGCTTTTGTTCAAATGAGAATTTGATTTTATTTCTTTTACATACGGTTGCTTGCATGCATGCTCAGTCGCTCAGTCATGTCCAGCTCTTTGCAACCAGCCAGACTCCTCTGTGCATGTAATTCTCCAGTCAAGATGACTGGAGTGAGTAGCCATGTCCTCCTCCAGGGGATCTCCCTGACCCAGGGATCAAACGAACCCACATCAGCTGCATTGGCAGATGGATTCTTTACCACTGTGTCACCTGGGAAGCACATGGTTGCTTAGGCAGCTCATTACTCATACCCCTCTGAGGGGTCAAAAGGAAGCTGATATCTAGCTCGTGCTCTGCTCACCAGGCCCTGTGTCTGGGCATGGAGCTGTGTCTGCCTAGAAGCAGGGGTGCTTTATTATTTTTTGCACAAAGACACTTTAGGAACCTACAGTAGCCCTGCTGACATTACCTACAGGATGGTGGTTGCATTTTGTTAGCTAAGTTCAGGTTCAAAATTTTTAGAATCAACTAAACTGAGGCTTAGAATACCATCTTGTTGGATAAAATGAAGACCCTTCAAGGACATACTCAAGAAAAGAATGCCATGTCATGGGTCGTGGGTCGACAATGGTTGACATTGGGTCATGGACTGAGGGGATGCTTTTGAACAGGGCCAGGATTCTTCCCTCAAAAGTGTTATTGCCTAACTCCTGAAAGATGATGAAAAGGATAACATTTATCTTCCTCACAGAAAATCAGTTTCGACATTATACTCTAGAAAAATCAAACCAAATGCACCCCATACAGCCAATTACACATTCAGTTCAGTTCAGTCGCTCAGTCGTGTCCGACTCTCTGTGACCCCATGAACTGCAGCACGCCAGGCCTCCCTGTCCATCACCAACCCCTGGAGCTTACTCAAACTCATGTCCATTGAGTCGGTGATACCATCCAACCATCTCATCCTCTGTCATCCCCTTCTTCTCCCACCTTCAGTCTTTCCCAGCATCAGGGTCTTTTCCAATGAGTCAGTTAATTACACATTAGTAAGCTGGGAAATGTAGGTCTGGTTCAGATGTTTCAAAGTTCGACTCATGATAGGTTAGAAGCATCCCATATAGCATAAAAAAGGCCTCCCAGGTCCCTCAGAAGGTAAAGAATCCACATGCACTGCTGGAGACTTGGGTTCGATTCCTGGGTTACAAAGATCCCCTGGAGAATACCCAGTCCAGTATTCTTGCCTGGGAAATCCCATGGACAGAAGAGCCTGGCAGGCTGCAGTCCATGTGGTTGCAAAGAGTCGGACACGACTGAGTGATTAACACTAACACTTAATATAGAATAAAAATTATATTCTTAAAATGAGAATAGAAGTTTAATATTAAGTTTTTAGACTTGATTTACCTTGTAGGGTCTAGGTAGATTGGGTTCCTGGTACCTTAGTTTAAGTAAACCTATCATATGTAGCCCTCTTAAAAACCATAATGCTAATCCTGAATATCTTATTAAATTGATTAAATCTGAGGTGATAATAACAATGGAAGTTAAGATGATTATCTGGCTCACAGCCATGGTCGGACAGGAGTGGTTATTGAGCATTGAGAAGATCAAAGGCAGTTGTCCTTCTTGGCTTGCTGTGTAGATCATCCTTGAAGCTGAAAGCACTGTACAGCACATGGAGCTAAATACTGAAGTTGAAATTCCAAAAGAAATGACCCACTGCATAGAAGGGATGATTTTGTCCGTCCAGGTGAGAGCAACAGCATCTACAAAAATTTTAGACAAATTTCAAAATGGTCAGTCCCTTTGCTTGATTGGAATTATGGCAATAATTCTTCACTTCCTCCTGCATCCATACCCTTTTTAATAAATCTTGTAGCTTATTCTAAGAAAGGAGTCTCTTTACTTATTCTTGAATACAGTTTGACCTTGTGGTCTGTTTTTGGCCTATAGAATGCATTGGATGGAGTAGTTTGCCCCTGCAGTTCAAACTTTCTAAGACTAGCTTTTGCATAAGATTTGGGAGGCACTTTTGCATAATTTTCAGGGCTCAAAGTGTATTGAAGTGAAAGTAAAGTGAGTGTTAGTCGCTCAGTTCTGTCTGACTGTGACCAAATGGATGGTAGCTGGCCAGGCTCCTCTGTCTATGAGATTCTCTAGGCAAGAATACTGGAGTGGGTAGCCATTCTCTTCTCCAAGGGATCTTCCCAACCCAGGGATTGAATCCAGGTCTCCTGCACTGCAGGTGGATTCTTTACCATCTGAGCCACCAGGGAAGCCCAAGTATTGAACTTGGAATCAATCTTATTAGTGGGACATCAGGCAGGAGATAGGCATCTCACTCAGGCTGAGGAGGGTGAGATGACATTGTGGGGGAGGCAGAGAGTATCTGTTCTGGAAACAGCAAATTGTTCAGAAAGGCTGTTGTGTGGGCAGGGTGTATGTGTGCACAAAGAGACAAGAGTTGAGGATGGAAAGTTAGGCTTCACTCAGATCTTGGGGAACCTGCCACGTCAGCTTAGTGAAAGTGAAGTCGCTCAGTCATGTCTGACTCTTTGAGACCCCATGGACTGTAGACCACCAGGCTCCTTCATCCATGGAGTTTTCTAGGCAAGAGTACTGGAGTGGTTGCCATTTCCTTCTCCAGGGGAGCTGATATTTGGTCTGAAGGAAGGTGATGATGGGGTGACAGTGAGCTTAGGAGGAGACGTAAGAAAACAAGATGGCAGAACACTTCAGCAGGGAGGTGACAGGATTACATCTGTGTTTTGTAGAGCCTCACTTTTTGTGACCCCATGGACTCTAGCCCTCCAGGCTCCTCTGTCCATGGGATTCTCCAGGCAAGAATCCTGGAGTGGGTTGCCTTTCTCTTCTCTGGGGGATATTTCCAACCCATGATTGAACCCAGGTCTTCTGCACTGCAAGCAGATTCTTTACTGTCTGAGCCCCTCATAGAATTATTTCTTGAGGTTGAGTGGAGGCTGGATAAAAGAAAGTTAGAGGCGAGGGTGTAAATTTGGAGGTTGTTGCTGTGAATGAAGTGAGGAAATAGGGGCCTGGGCATGTGGGGTGGGAAAGAAGAGGAAAGAACAGTTGAGGAAATGTGAGTGAGGTGGGTCTTCACAGAACTGGCAACCTGGTTTGGAAGTGGGGTGAAAGGCAAACTATAGCTCTCCCCTTCAGTTTAATAGTTAAAAGAATTCACCTTCAGTGTGTTACTGTATTCCTGTGAGACCAAGTTGTGGCAAGGAGCATGTTTTTTGTTTACTTTTAAAAATTTATATTTCTCTTTTCCTTTTAGAATCAACACATCATTTTTATACTCGTCCCAGAGAAGATGCAGAAATACATCTTTTGGTGTTTTTGAGCCATGTATAGGTTTTTTGTTTTTTAAATGAATTTCAAATCTTCTGATTTTGGTGAAGGCTTTGAGTGCAGACGACAGCGCGGAGCTCCAGTTCAGAGGGTCAGCACATCAGACTGATCCTTTGTGGCCTCTTCCTTGAGAGCACACCCAGGGCAGGGGACTTAGGTCACTGGAGTGACCCCGTCAGCCCCTCCATGACCGCACGTGGTCACCTATGCCTGTCTGTAGGTACAGCAGTTTTGTAGTCTGTATTTCTGTTGATGTGTTATTTGGCCTTTATCCGGGATATTTGAAGAGCTAGTCACTGTCAATAAATGAGTTTTCTGGATAACCAAACTTCTTTCGGGAATAACTATCTTTTCAAGGTTAAAATTTGGTGGAATTTTTCTAATATATTTCAAACACTACTCGACCTTTTTAAAGTAAAATGAACATAACACATTTTTGGGGAAGACCCAATGTTGTCATTAAAAAATCATCAATTAATTCTGTGGAAATATAATTATCTAGTATTAGAAAAATGATTATTTTTTTCTGATCATAAGTATAAGATGCTAATTGTGGGAAATATGAACAGTATAAAAAAAGAAATAAAAATTTCTTATAATCTTACCACTCCACCATTTACTTTTAACTTTTTGTTACATTTCCATTTAGTCGTGTCTGTGTGTGTATGTTATAAAATTATATGTATTAATAAAATTTACCACCTGATGTATATTAATATGTATTCATATGATTGCTTGCTTTGCTTTCATTTTACTTGCTTATAGTGAGATATTTTAGTATGGTGATTGAGAACATAGGTTTTGGAGTTAGCATGGATTTGAGTCTGTCTTTTTCAATTACGAGCTGGGCAGCTTTGAGCACCATATTGGTAGAACTGGGAAGAATATATTTTTTGAAGGTCAGATCTTGGGAACTGCTGTCCAGATTTACAACCCATTGCTAGCAATGACCTGGACAAGAAGCAATCTCTTATCATGAGAAGAGCATGACTGAAGCCTACGTCTGAATCCTATTAAGTTTGTTCATTACTTAACTCCCAGTTTCCTCATCTGAAAAAAGAAGATGACACTGCCTGTTCCAAATGACTGCTCTGAGGGTGGTTATCTGGGTGCGCCCTGAGGAGTGGAGCGTCTCCCAACAGAGTGTTTCTTCTCTGCCCTCTCGCCTGGCTGGCTCCTGTTGCTCTTTTCTCTCTCTCCTGTATGTCCCACTCCTTCTCTTTTTCCACCTCCTCCTCTTTCTTTTTCCAGTTCTTATTGTTTCACAGTCTTCTACCCTTTGATTTTGGTCTTTAGCATGTACTCATCTTTTATAGATTTTTAGATGATTGTTTTTCCTTTCCTTATAAAAACCAAAGCAGGAACCCATTATATTCATACTCTTATGGGTGTACTGAACAAATCAGTACTATATAGGAGTCCTTGTTTATTCAGAACAGACAGTAGTGACTATTTCCTCTTTGTCTAGATACATTCATACCTGCAGAGACGATTTCCTTGGGAGTCAAAACTGCCAGGTAGGATACATTGGCCAGTAAGTAAACCACAGCCACCATGGGAATGCCAGTAATCAGAGATTTGGGGATGTTCTTACCAGGATTTTTTATCTCTCCTAAAAAACACAAATGAACTCATCAGAAAAGGACGTATTATGAGACTTTTGAAGACTTTGTGATAAAATGTATGAAAAAGTATTATTCATGTATCTGTTGTTTCCTCATCTGCTTGACTGTTTCTACATTGGTCCTGTGCAAGTTTTGCCTGAAAGCTTGGATTTCTCACCATCTTATACTAAAAATCCAATTATTCCAGTCATTTGATGATTATGGGTTTACAGTGATGGAAAAGACCATGTAGTTAGTACAAGCTACTGCGTACAAAATGATAAGCTACAAGGATATGTTGGAATGTAGCCACTATTTTAGAACTATAAATAGAGTATAACCTTTAAAACCCATGACTCATTCTGTTGTACACCTGAAACTTCTACAATATTGTAAATCAACTATGCCCCAATAAAAGAGAGAAAGAAATGAAACAGAGATGAGAGCAGAGTAGGGGAGAAAGTTTGCATTAAATGAGACAGCCGGGAAATGACATTTGGGGAAGACTTAAGGGAGGTGAGGGAGGGAGACGTGAAGATCTCAGTAGGGAGACTTTTACGCAAAGGGAACAGTAGGTGCCAGAGGAAAACAACTCCCCTCCCCCGCCTCACCCCAGCAACTTTTTGTGAGCACTTTCATGTCTGCCTGTCACAGAGGCTTCCACCGTGTGGTACTGAATACGCGCCATAGCGTTAAGGACATATTGGGCTGTGTCTGCATTTCAAACACAGAGGAAACTGCAAGGTCTCAGAGAAGTTGAGAGACTCACCCAAGGTCACACAACCACCAAGTGGTGAGAGAAGGATTTGAAACCGTTTAGTCTGACACCAGACAGTAAGCACTGTGCCCTCCAGCCTGGATGTAGCTAGATCTCTTGGACCTTGGGGTGATGGGTTTCTTGGACAGAAGGCGCAGAGTCTATTTTGACACTCCCAACCTCTTGGATAGAAGTCCTCAGTTGGGAAAATCCTTGAGCTCTGATACATAATAATGTTTTTAAACCAATAGCAGGGATGAGCTCAAATCACCCAAACAATGTCAGTTTCTGTCAATTGCAGGGGCCTTATATCAGGGGAGGAGACACCACATCACCAGTGAATTCTGGAAATTGGCATATGATCTCAAAATTCCTAGACATCATACTGTTTTCCTTAAAAAGGAAGTTCAGCAGAGTAGTTAAGAACACAGGCTCTGGAGGTAGAGGATTCGGGGCTTGAACCTGGCTCTAACCCTCACCAGTTGTTGGACCTTGGGAAACAGGCTTTGCAGTTGGCAGCAAAGATTGCCGGTCCACAGATCTGTGCAAATAAAAAATGTCCAACTGTTAAAGACTCTTTAGTATGTAGCTTGTCTCTTCATCCCGCCTGAGATATGTCATTTTCCCCACTTTTTCAAGCAAAAGGACCTCTGAGGAAGTTCGTTTCTCTCCCTTACTTTCCCAAGCAAGCTTTTCTTTACCTAGGCTTAAGTGTGAATGGAATTCATTCTTATGGAATATGAATGAAATATAAGAGGAAAACAATTCAGAGCCCATTAGGCAATCAAGAGATTGCTTGAATCTACTCAAGTGGTGAAGGAAATTTGTTGTAAGCCATGCAGAAGAGTCTGTCCACCCAAATTCCGATTGGGAGGAAATCAGGAGATGGTAATATGAAATCAATGTTAGGTGACTTGTGAGTTCTCGGGTTCCCCTATTACCCTAGCAACGGGGTGACCGAACCAGTCTGTGCATATGCAACCTGAGGCCTGAACTGCTCAGGTCACATGTTCCATCTGGAGTCTGGGCGGTGTAAGTGACTGTGTGCGCTGGCTTCTCCCCACGGCAGCTTCAGTTACCGGAGATTAACCCTGAGCCCCGGCGCGAGCAATGACTCTATAACACGGCAGGCAGGCGCATCCCTCCTCCAGCTTCGGGGAGCAACAGCTGCTAGCTCCCCACAGCTGACCCCTTCTTCTGGGATTTGCCCTTGGTCCTTGGGTGGCTTGGCAGGGATGGGTAAGCCGCCTTGCTTAGAAAAATCTACAAGTTTACTTTCTCCCATCAGAGGCAGCCCCCAGTTGTTGATTAACTGATAAAAGGTACAAAAGTCCATCCCTAAGGCCACTACTTGGGAATGTTTTGCATTTTTCCTACTCTAGCAGTACTGTCTAATCAAAATATACTGTGAGCCATTTATGTATTTTAAAATTTCTAATGACTACATAAGAGAAAAACAGGTGAAATGGAATTAATGATATATATTTTCCCCCAAATATCCAAAATGTCATCTTTGCAGTATGTAACATTTGTAAAGAATTAATGAGCTCTGAACAATAGATAAGGCTGTGTTCATTCAAGATTTTGATTTCTGGTGTGTATTTTATGTCTGTGGAGCAGCTCGGTTTGACTGACTACATTTCAGATGCTCACTGGCTCCATAAGGCTGGTGGCTACCAGGCTGGGCAGTGTGGCTCTGTAGGATCTGGCTGAGGCTAGACGTCAGCTGAAACCACGTCCTCAGCAGCTCTCCCTTCCCTGTCCTGCTTCCCTCACCCCTCACGGCTGTCTCTGGGAAGCAGGTCCTCAACGAAGTGCTGGTACAAGGATCCCCATCTCAGGCTTTGCTTCTCATTAACCCAATATAAGATGGGAATGTGTCAAATTAAATACAACAGTGATCAGCCCCTGACACCATTTATTTTCTGCTAAATTATACAAATTGTGCCAGTGTCTAATTTTTATGAGAATCTGGCGTGTTAGATAATCTGAAAGAACAGCCTTGTTACTTAAATTTGAAATGTAAATGAATTTTCAGATGTGTGATTTAAAGTTGCAAGTGTAGGAGACGTTAAGTTTATAAACCACATTTAAGTGTTTAAGGAAATAAAATTCATCTTATATGAGGCAATATTTTAGCATTACGGGATATGAGATTAGAAAGGTTTTTCGAGTCAGACACTTAAAATGCTTAAAAATTAAGTACATTTTAACACACAATTGAAAGAGTTTAAGAGAATGAGGTTATATTCTTTAGTGAAATCTAATATGTTCAATATAGTAGTCAACCACTTAATAAAGAACAAGAAAAAGTGAATTTTATGTAAAATATTTAGTTTTATATATGTATATAATTATGTATAAGTTAATGGTTTATGAAAACTTATGATTTTGAATTTATACTATAAGAAAATTGACTAATAATTTTAACTCCAACTTTGGGAAGTTCTAAAACTCACATTAACATCTAACACTGATTTTATTTTTTTCTTTAAGAAGGGAAAAGTAAAAGATAAGAAAAATTTAACCTGTGCCTTTAACAGTTCTTTATTCTTCATCCTACCTTTTCCCCACCATAGTTCAGATAAACAGCATCCTTTATAAAGAGTCCTTTGGGAATATTGCCTCTTGGTTCAGCCTGGCTGTTTTTAATGTGGAAAATTCCTCGTCCTCCCAAACAGATCCCAACTTTGCTCAGATCCTTAGGACCTGGGAGTATTATCAAATTTTAAGTATGTCCAGGGAAGTGGTAGACTCTTTAGGTTGTGTTTCCTGCCATATTCCTGTCTTGAGTGTGACCTGAGACCAGGGCCTCTGATTTCCAACCATAGGAGAGGGGATCTGCCTGCTTAGACTTCCTGCTTGGTGGCCCATAAAGGGAGGGAAGATTAGGCCTAATGAGCCTTTTTTTTCTTCCATGTGTGTACAACTTCAGTTTCTGGAGGACTAACGGGGACTCTTGAGGGTGAATGAAGTCCGTCATAGATTTCCATCTTGCAGCAACGTAAACAAGAGAATGGGTGCTTCAGGCTCACCAGTCCTCAAGAAGTCTGCCTTTCCCCCTGAAACTGACATACTTCACCCCACCCCCCAACATCCAGTTTCATGATCCATGGTTTCATTTACATGCAGTTAACCACAATCTGAAAATATTAAATGGAACATTCCAGAAATAAACAATTCATAACTTTAAAATCACATGCCATTCTGAGTATCATGGTGAAAGCGCACGTCATCCTGCTTGTCCTTCCCAGGATGAGAATCACCCTTTTTTCTAAGGTCCACACTGTATATGTATCGACCTGATCCCTTAGTATAGCAAAAAGCATAGTATATATAGGATTCAGTATTAGCCATGGTTTCAGGCAGCCACTGGGGGTCTTGGAACGAATCCACTGTGGATAAAGGGGAACTACTGTATACTGCAACATGCTTAATGTCAGGAGGAGGATTTCCCGGTATTTCTCTGTATTCTGTCTCTGAAAAGTTCCTCTAACAGGCAGCCAATCAGGGTGTTGGTCTGGTCAAACGTGAAGTTGTTTTGGGCAACCTTGTGTGCAGCTGGGGAAAAGCCTTTCCCTTCTCCAGGGCATCTTCCCAACCCAGGGATCGAGCCCAGGTCTCCTGCACTGCAGGCGGATTCTTTACCAGCTGAGACACTGCTGCTGCCGCTAAGTCGCTTCAGTCGTGTCCGACTCTGTGCGACCCACGGACTGCAGCCCACCAGGCTCCTCTGCCCACAGAACTCTCTAGGCAAGAGTACTGGAGTGGGTTTGCCATTTCCTTCTCCAAGCTGAGCCACAAGGAGACCTAACAAAATTCCTTATTTCAGAATTAAATATAAGGATGTCTAGTGGTGCTTGGGATTCAGTGTTATTCCTTCAGGAGGCCCTGGCACAAGAATCTAGATGCAAGCTGTCTATTCTGTTTATACTTTGTCAGGAATATGACAGCTCAGAAACTCTGAGGACCAAACCTGAGGGAGCTAGTTCTTTCTAGCCAGGATCACCCTATTTTGACACAGAAGAAGCCAGATCTCTAAATTTGGTAAGTTAATGAAGTGCTGGTTCTGCTAGCCAGCCCCATTCAATTAGCCCCAAGGTCTGACCCTATTACTGCCCTCCTGGCATTCGACCTTCTGCTCTGAGAGTCAGACCTCACTGAGTGACTGAGCGCGCACTACTCGTCTGCAAATATGGAAAAGCTCACCAGGCCTTTCAAACACAGCCACATTCACCTGACGTTGCTCACATTTCTCTGACCGGCTCCAGTTACGAGATTCTTGTCCTTCATTCAAGGTTTCACTTGTTTGATGACAAATCCACCCAGGGAGCAGGAGGAGAATGAGCTGAGTACTGCAAACAGAACTGAGTTTCAAGCTGCACTGTGCTGTGTCTTTAGGCAATAATCACGATCAGGAACACCTCTGCTTGCTCCCATGTGATGCTTTTCTTCAGAAGGGGTGCTCCAACATCTCGATATTTAATTTTGCAGAGCCGCCCCCCCGCCCCCCACTGACCAGGAGCCCTCTGGAGGATGCAGCTGCACAGGCAGTGACCGGTGAAACCCTGCCTCCATGTATATCCAGGGTATCCGCTTTGTACTCAGGTACCTTTAAATGGCCAGGCTAGCAGCAAGGTGATTATGTCACAATTAATTTGTGCTAGGTAAACGCAGTTCTCATCATTATTTGAAATGCCTTGCTATTCAAAAATCCATTAGTTTTATAGTGAGAAATTTCAACATTACATTTGCCAATTAAAAAAGAAAATGTTAAAGTACTTAAGAGTCATATCAACTATTAAATTTTAGTAATCTACATGAATGAACAGAGCATCTCATTGACCAACATAAAAAACATAAAAAATAACATAAATTTCAGTAATTCAAAGATTGAGAATTTGTATAAAGATTTTGTTTGGAAGTTTATACAACTGTGGTATTTAATATATCTTTAACATTTTACATTCCCATAATTTTATAACCAACAAGTAATATAAAGAATTATTTTCTGTTTAGTTCTTTTGATTACTTTAGACATCTGTGAAAGTATTACCAAAGTATTTTGGAACCATGATGTCAGAGGGAAGAGTACTGCCCTGCAGAAACAACAGTGCATATAAACAGGGAAGCATTGATATTACACCAGTCCTTGTAATTGTGAAAAATGGGAAACATTTCAAGTACCCACTATTGTGAAAGTGCAGCAAAGCCATTCTAAGGAATATTATACAGCAGTTAAAAGAACGCTGGGTGACTAAGAACTGCTATGGAAAGTTCTCTAAGACACACTGTGGAATCAAAATTAGGATGCAGCATTTTACCAGTGCAGTAGGGGATGAATAAAACCTGATGGTTTCATTTTTTAACAGTAACATTATATTAACATATTTCTAATATAACTGATATTTAACCAAAAGTGTCTTGAAAAATTGCTAGAATAAATTACAGTAGAATCTGAGAGTGATCTTTTCTCCAGCAAACTTTCTCCAAGTTTGTTTAAATGGGGTGACCAGAAAAGCACTAGATTCTCAGTATTTTATGTAGATAATTATCTGCCAAGGCTTAATGATGATTAAACTGTGCTACTTGCATGTACTGCAGAGCAGATTCAATTCAGTGTCTCCCAAAGAAACAAATTGGGTATTGTCTTTCTCCAGAGGGTTGTAGACACAACTTTATGCCTACAGCAGAAGTATGTCAGAAAGGGATTTACCTGCCATGCTGTTCAGTATTGACGTGCCAGAATATGCAAACAATCCTTGCAGGAAGGCTTCTGCAACCTGTGAGACGTCAGGAAGCTCGGCATCCAAAGCGTTCTCGAACCTGGCCACATTCTCCTTTTCCCCCATCCCTAACAGCACAATCCCAGCAAGGCAAATGAAGCAGAGTACAGTCATCTTCGCCAAAGTGCTGACAGTTTGAAGCCAAGCCACAGTTTGCACGCCTCGAGCGTTTAGAAGTCCCAAAGACCACAGAACAGCCAACGCTAGACATCTCTTTGGTAGCTCTGGAGCTGGGCACCCAGCGTAGAAAGGCTGAATAGTATAGGTAGATAATAACAAGCTTTCAGTAGCTAGTCTTAAGGGATGAGTAAATAGTTTGATCCAAAGATTGAGGAAAGCAACAGAGGAACCAAGAGATCTTTTGAGGAAATAATACTGTGCTCCACTTATAGGGAAGGTCGTCCCCAGCTCTGCATGGCTGAGGGCAGAGATCAAAGTCAGCACCGCACAAGCCGCCCAGATACTCAGGGAGACAGCCACATTCAGTGAGGAATATTTTAACACCCCTTTCGGAGACACAAAGATTCCTGCCCCTATTGTGGCACTTAAGATTAAAATGTTTCCTCGGAACAATCCTATTGCCCTCAGGAGTTGCATGTTTTTGCCTTTTCCCTGTTTGTTTTCTTATTCCTGAAAAATAATTTTGAAATCTCATGTGGATTGCTAACTCTTATACATCCCACTCACAATGCTTCTGCACCATGTTTTCGTGATTTAGTCATGGTCCTTACATAAGCATTTTATTACTGCACTTAACTTGGTTTTAAAAATGATTAACTTGTGAAGAGTTCGAAAACTTTGTGACCTCTCTGAAGGCCCAAGTTAAAATGTTCCACACGTTAATTATTTAAAATTTTAGCTATGCCTGTTGACAGTTGCGCAATCCTCTGAATGTGATTACTGCCACTGAATTGTACACTTCAGAGTGGTGTACCTGTTGTGTTCTCTGCATTTTGCCACAAGTTTTAAAGAGTCATAATATACAAAAACCCATACAATCGTACACTCTAAATGGGTGAGTCATTTGGTGTACGAATTATAGGAGATATATCTCCAGCACGGGCACCCTTGAGGGAAGTTTAGCCCTGAATTGAACTTACTGCAATTGGAGATAAATGAGGTTTCTATCTACTGATTCCTGATGCAAGGATGTTCCTAAGCATGCAATAACTGGCTGTCTGGATCATCTACTGTGTAACTTGTAGTTCTGGAATGAGACCTTCACATTAGGAAAGGAACTGAGGATGACCAGTCCAAGTACACAGAACTAGCAAGTATTTGAGCTTAGGGACAAGAATGTTGGCACTGGAGGCTTGAGGTGATTGGACTCTTGATAGATTTTTGAATTAGATGTGGGGGTGTGAGAGACTGACAGGAATAAGAGTCACCAAGGTGTGTGGGCCTTGCAACGGGAAAAATGAAGGTGAATTGACAGTTTTCTACTTACATTTATGTAAATAGAATATAACTGCAAATGTAATTATAGATGTTACATTTACATGCTGTGTCTATAGAATGTGTAGTTTTATATTTATATTTATATAAATAGAATGGACTTACAAATGTAACTTATTACATTTATTACATTTACTTCTGTGTCATTAGAAATATTACATTTACTTCTATATCTATAGAATGGATCTATCTGCCTTTTGATAAACTTCTCACTATTAAATTCAGTGTGGCAGGAGTATTCTTTCTTCTGGCAGGAGCATAGTTTCTTCCTTAATATAGGTTTGATTTTATCTACGATAATCATTGGAGAAGGCAATGGCACCCCACTCCAGCGTCTGCCTGCAATGCGGGAGACCAGGGTTCGATCCCTAGGTCGGGAAGATCCCCTGGAGAAGGAAATGGCACCCCACTCCAGCGTCCCTGCCTGGAGAATCCCAGGGACGGGGGAGCCTGGTGGGCTGCCGTCTATGGGGTCGCACAGAGCCGGACACGACTGAGCGACTTAGCAGCAGCAGTTAGTGCTACTTTGCATTTGCTCATGCCTGCCTTAACTGCTAAGCTCAGAGTCCTTCTACACAGGCGACTCTCTGCTCTCTCCCAGCCTCCCTGTGGAAGCGCGAGGTGGAGGCCGTCAGGAGTCTCCTAGATCGGAGCCCTCCGTGCCTCCAGCCCGCTTCTCCTCGCAGCCAGACGCGCCTTGCCGGCTCTCCTGAGTCCGCGTGGCCGCCTGCAGTCTACCAGCCTCGTGCCTGCGACTTATCGTGAGTCTGCAAGGTTTTCCTCTGACTTGCGTCCTGCAAACCAGACTCCCTACCTATTATTATAAAATGTCAAATTTTAAACTCAAAGGCCTATATTCTAGAAAACTTGAATCAACTTTCAAACAGATTATAGACTACACACCGTTCAGACACCTACCATTTGTGAGTTTCTTTGCCAGACACATTTTGTCAAAAACCTCACTGAGACAAAATTTGAATGGAAGAGAGGGCTCTGTCTTATTAAGTGTTCACTAGGTCGTAAGTGAGTATATATGCTATACCTAGTTTTGTCCTCAATTACCCATAGGTTTTTTTTTTCTCAGCCTAGGTTCTCTGATACCTATTTGCCCTCTCTAGGATTTGATTTTTATTTTGTATTAATCCTTTCAATACTATCACTAAAAATGGTTTGCAGTTATGTTTAGAATAGTGATGTCAGGTCCCCAGTAACCATTGTGATAAATACAAATGGATACATTTATGTTGACACTGGTAGGGTCATATTGACAAAAGCAGTTTCTGAGAAGTCAGTTAAGAGGTGAAAGAGAATAAATATTTGGTAAGAACTAGTTAAACTCTTCTTTGGTACTGTCTCTATATAGCGCTCCAGCCTCAGTCATGCCAAAATGTAGAGCTATAATCATTAACGGAATACTTCTGAGGTGCTTCCGAGAACCCAAACTGAGACAGTCTATCCAGGGAGATGCCCTCTACAGGGATGTGTCCTGACAGTCCATTCACTTATTCGCTCACTTGCCTGTGCATTCAGATATTTATTTTATAGGCTGTCTATTTTTATGCACACACTGTCTTAGGGAAAGAGTATACAAATTTAAATAAATGAAATGTAGTTAAATTTTTTTTAAATGGCTAAGGAATAACCCCTACCTTTAGGGCGCTCACTGTCTTTAGGGAAAAAGTAAGTAGACAATTAAAAAAGGGTGTGGACTCTGCCATATTAATAATAAACTCAGAAGCATTAGTGCACAAAGGGGGACATCTACTGCAGTCTTGGGAAACTGGGAATTGGCATCATTTATTGGAGAAGTAAGGCTTCGTTTACAAACAACAAGAGTTAAAGTGTCAAAGTTCTGGACATTAACTATTCTGTGCTAGTTGGGTGTTACATATGTGGTATGTGTAAACATATACATAAGGAATATGTATATGTATTAGGAATATTCTGGTTGAAAGGGAAAGATGCTTTTTTTTTCATTTATTTTTATTTGTTGGAGGCTAATTACTTTACAACATTGCAGTGGTTTTTGTCATACATTGAAATGAATTAGCCATGGATTTACACGTATTCCCCANTCTGTACATTTTCTGCTATTGAAACATATTCATCACTGCCATCAGCAGGCGAAACATTTAGTAGTAACTGTAGAAAGCAAGTTATCTTGTTGAAGTATGTAGAACCCAAATTAAAATGCACAAAAGGCAAATAAAATAAAAGTCCACTGAGGATAAAAAGAATAACGTAGATATGGTACATCTGAGGAGACTTGATGATGGGTGTCAAAACCAAGAACAAAGACATGGCCATGGTTCCGAATACAAATGGCAAGCGTACCTGAGGACAAACATAAATTTGTGTTAGAGTGGACTTGGGAGTGATTACAAATAATAACGTGAAATATTTTATATACAAACATTTGTTTAATATGGAGGAAGTTGGTTTCATTGATAAAAAAATATTTACCTAGCAGGTCTTCCTTAGTTTTATATAAGAGAAAACAATCTGCTGGGAGTCTCCTTAGAGTGTGAAGTATCAGAAGTGAGAGCTTTTTCCTAACAGTTTCACCACTTTGCTGTCCCTTGGATGTTTTTCATAAGTCCACGCCACTTGTCCATTTAGCTCTCTATTTATTTTGGCCATGGGAGTCTTCATCACTGCAGGCAAGGTGTTTCTAATTCTGGCGAGTAGGGGCTGCTCTCTAGTCGCAGTGTGTGGGCTTCTTATTGTGGAGCCTCCTCTCGTTGCAGGGCACACAGGTCTCAGGCAGCTTCGGCACACAGGCTTAGTGCTACAGCTCGTGGGCTCTAGCACACAGGCTTCGTTGCCCTGTGGCATGTGGAATCTTCCTGGACCAGGTATCCAACCTGTGTCCTCTGCATTGGAAGACAGATTCTTAACTACTGGACCACCAGGGAAGTCCCATGCAGATCTCTTGAGTAACGACCCTCAGAAACATTCCATACTATACCATAAAGCATTTTTTCATTATAAATTTTTTGGAACTTTTTATTTTCAAGCAATATCAAAATTAATATTTTTGCACCTCAATCATAATGACATAATACACAACCTACATATAACCTAATATGACAGACTTCATTTTGGGGGCTCCAGAATCACTGCAGATGGTGACTGCAGCCATGAAATTAAAAGACGCTTGCTCCCTGAAAGGAAAGTTATGACTAACCTAGACAGCATATTAAAAAGCAGAGACATCACTTTGCCAACAAAGGTCTGTCTAGTCAAAGCTATGGTTTTTCAGTAGTCATGTATGGATGTGGGAGTTGGACTATAAGAAAGCTGAGCACCGAAGAACTGATGCTTTTGAACTATGGTGTTGGAGAAGACTCTTGAGAGTCCCTTGGACTGCAAGAAGATGCAACCGGTCCATCCTAAAGGAAATCATCCTGAATATTCATTGGAAGGACTGATGCTGAAGCTGAAAATCCAATACTTTGGCCACCTCATGTGAAGAACTGACTCACTGGAAAAGACCCTGATGTTGGGAAAGATTGAAGGCAGAAGGAGAAGGGGACAACAGAGGATGAGCTCGTTGGAATACATCACTGACTCAATGAGTTTGAGTAACTCAGGACATGAGTTTGAGTAAACTCCGGGAGTTGGTGATGGACAGGGAGGCCTGGCACGCTGCAGTCCCTGGGGTCCCAAAGAGTTGGACACAACTGAGCGACTGAACTGAACGGAACCTATATATAATTCCTTTCGGGAATGTTTTTATCGTAAAAGGACCACAGAGTTGGATTCATTTTCTCTGATCTTCACTTCTTCCTTAATATGGATCTTAACAATATATATCTTTCAAATTTGTGTATCTTAATTTGGATAATTAAAGAATACACAAGCACGCACATTTACACATAATTAAAGAGTGGTAATTGCAAACAGTAAAATGCTTAGTTAAATGCAGTTGATTCTTGCCTCTTACTGTATTCTGTGTAACCCTTCCCTCTCCTATTAGACTAGGAAGTTATCGACGCATTATTAATGGACAATTTATCCATCTGTCTCTAAAGTGTTTAGACTAGTGTCTTCCTCACAGTGGTTCCTTAGTCATTGCTTCAGTATTTATTAGATCATTAAGTGACTCAGATGCAAGATTATCATTTTCTTTCCTTCTTTTCAATCTTGAAATGTGGATTTCTGGTCCTCACCCTAAGCATTAGAATTCCCAGGGGTGATGTCTAGGAATCTGAATTTATACAAGAAACACAAAAGTCATTCTTTTTCACAGTAGACTTTA